CCCAGCTGTTCGTGTATGATGTCGTTTGTGAGTACAACACCTATTTTATTTCTTATTAAACATTTTTTATGGATGCACTAGGCCTGTGCGCCCTCTCTTTGTTCTTTCCTCATTGAGCAGGAAAGAGCTAGATGATGCTTGACATCTTCTAGCCAAGAAATGAGGAGGGCTAAATCTGATTTGCTGCAATTTCTAATGCACATTGTGAGAGAAGCTTACAGCGTGCAGTGAAATCACAGTAAGCCATTTCAGTACAGGAAGTGGGCCTTCCTGTTCAGTTCAAAGGAATTCATAGTTACATAGTTAGTTTGGCTGAAAAAAGACAAAAGTCCATCCAGTTCAACCATTACAAAAAAATTTTTTTTTATAATCCTACACCCATAGTTGATCCAGAGGACCGCAGCTTGGCATTGCATGCCATTATTAAGCTTGTGATCTACCAGAACCCCCAGTTGATTGATTCCCCCAGTTGTACCCCCCTAGTATGTATGATACATGCATATTCTTAGCCCCCAAGTGCAGAACCTTACATTTATCACCATTAAACCTCATTTGCCACATAGTTGCCCAATTACACAGAGCATTGAGGTCAGCTTGTAAATTGGAGACATCCTCTAAGGACGTCACTCCACGGCACAGCTTGGTGTCATCTGCAAAGACTGAAATGGAATTTTTAATCCCAGACCCTATATCATTTATATATATATATATATTAACTGCTTGCTGACCGCAGATAGCCGAATGACGGCTGCACTGCGGCCGGCCAGTTCTGGGTGGACGTCATATGACCCACTGTGCCCAGTAGTGCCACTCACCTGTGCCACCCACCAGTGCCCATCAGTGCAGCCCAGCAGTGCTGTCAGTCAGTGCCCAGTGGTTGTGCCAGTCAGTGCCCAGCGGCGCCGTCAGTCAGTGCCCAGTGGTTGTGCCAGTCAGTGCCCAGCGGCGCCGTCAGTCAGTGCCCAGTGGTTGTGCCAGTCAGTGCCCAGCGGCGCCGTCAGTCAGTGCCCAGCAGTGATGTCAGTCAGTGCCACCTATCAGTGCTGTCTATCAGTACCCATTATCAGTGTCGCCTATCAGTGCCACCAATGTGCCGCATATCAGTGCCGCCTATTCATGACACCTCATTAGTGCTGCCTATCAGTGCCGCCTATCAGTGCCGCCTATCAGTGCCGCCTATCAGTGCCGCCTATCAGTGCCGCCTATCAGTGCCGCCTATCAGTGCCGCCTATCAGTGCCACCTATCAGTGCTGCCTCATCAACGCACATCAGTGAAGGAGAAAAATTACCTGTTTGAAAAATTTTATAATAGAAACAAAGAAACTTTTTTTTTCCAAATTTTTTTGCATTTTTTTGCTTATAGAACAAAAAGTAAAGTGCCCAGCAGCGAATACCACCAAAAGAAAGCTCTATTTGTGAGAAAAAAATGATAAAAATTTCATATGGGTACAATCTTGCATGACCGCGCAATTGTCAATCAAAGTGCGACAGCACTGAAAGCTGAAAATTGGCCTGGTAAATAAGGGGGCATAAGTGCCTGGTAGGCAAGTGGTTAAAAAGTAAGGGTGCCAACACTGAACCCTGGGGTACACCACTGATGACCCTGACCATTCAGAGTGTGAATCATCAACCACTACTCTTTGAATACGATCTTTTAGCCAGTTTTCAATTCATTTACATAGGGAATTTTCCAAGCCGATATGGATTATTCCTATTCAACCTGTTCAATAAATGGGCACACTTTTGCTAAAAGGTTAAAATCTGACATATTTTAACAGCCCAATAGGCTCATAACGTTAACTCTAAAAATGTATGTTGTTCCAGAAAAAAAACAAACAAAAAAAAAAAACTCTGCTTTAGCGGTTTGCCATCATTGTTTCCTCTGCCTCCTCCCTGGTACGCTCCAGAGATCCCCTCATTGTAACCGATGAAGAATTCTTAGTGCCGGCCCAATCAAATGAGCTATGTGATTTTCAGACCATTTGGATCGTGTCTTTTTTGGGTCCAATGCAACCCAGGAAGAATTGTACTGCCGAAGATGATGCCAAATTCCTTCTTTTTTTTTTGCTGCTATGATTCGACTTCCTGTTACAGGCCGGCTACATACTCCATGCAGTCCTTGTATGTAAAAATTTAGCCACTCTCTTGCTGGCTCTCGAGGTAGACTATGGAATTTGTAGTATGCATAGTACAGTCCACAAGACCACTCTGCTCGCTCCATCAAAAGTGAGGGGGGATAACTAGAAGCCCGGTAGATGTTACAAGGACAGAAAAACACAGTAAGGATCAATTTAATAAAAAAATACAGTAGATTAGAGGGCCATTAAGTAATGGATGTGCATGGATTATTTTTGGAGAATAAGGATTTACGTGTTAATTGAAAAAAAAAAAAAAAAAAGTGCCGAATAGCAAAAAATGTCCTGTCATGAAGGAGTGTAAATCTTCCTGAGGGTAAGTGGTTAAGAGAGAATCAGAGTGGATAACAATCAATGATTTTTTTTTTTTTTTTTAAATTAAAAAAAATAAATAAATAAATCGGATCTTCTTTATTTAAATCGGATTTTCTTTATTTAAATCGGATTTTTTTTTATTTAAATCGGATTTTTTATTATTTAAATCGGATTTTTGTAAATAAAATGCTTTTTGAGGAAAATATATTACCATCCAAAGGTTATTCCATCATGAAATAAAGATTAGTTTTTTAATTATGTAGAATAAGGCTGTATATGTTTAATTTTTTGGGTAAATAAATTCCATGAATCCATTCACAATGTCATGCTCTTCCAGAGGTTTTTGTAAGTTATTGGGCAGTTTCTCTGCCTACAAGATATTATCACAGATGATTGGTTTACTTTTGCAGTTCTCAAAACTGAATTTGACTCAGCGGAGATCACATGCCTCTTCTTCACAGCAAAAATGTTATAACATGAACAGAGTTAAGAAAAAGACCTTCATCCTAACTTCTACAAACCTATGAATACAGAATCAACCCCTTCACTGCTAAGTTTCAAGAAGTTCAGTGAATAGAATAGAAACAATATTTTTCTGATTGTTTGGAGTGGAATAGATCTGCAGAAGAAGGTGAAACTAAGTGTGAGGAGGAAGGGGCTGACAGTCTAAGTTTCTTAAAATATATAGATTTTGTTTAGCCAAATTAGTTAACAAACATGGATGTTTAAGCAAATCACATATGCTGGAATGTTATTGTTTCAGATGAATAAATCTATTTAAATTGTTATTATTAAGGTAATGATTATTTTTCTCCTTCCTAAGTACAACAGAAAAGTTGTCCAAATATGAATGATTAACCTATTAAACTGGGGATAAAAAAACTAATATGAAAAGTTATTCTAAAAATCTTCATCTAGTTGTATATTAAAGTTATACCAGCAAGAATTAGTCTTTATGTAGAAAACTAGGATTTAAATCAAGCCTTACTGACTAGTGATTTAAATCAAATCCACCCTGGAGAGAATAGGTAAAAATAAAAATAGGGATACCCATCTGTAGATTTAATTGATATAACTTACCCAAAGAAGCCTTTCAGGAAAGCTGCATACATGAGTGGCGCAAAGAGGCTGAAGTATAAAAATGTGGTGACATCCACCAAACTGTCAGAAGAAAAGAAAAAGAACAGGACAGTGGTTAGATAACAGTCTACATAAAACTCAAGCCTACAGTAGAATATACAACTGCATGACTTTGCTGCAAATATGTGCAGATAGGTCATGCGTGAATAGATCCAGCAGGAACCCCAAAAGGCCCCTTTCACATGGGACAGACTCTGTTTTGATCAGCAGGAGCACGGTCTGCTGATCAGAGCAGAGGGAGCGGATGACAGGTCCATGTCTGCTCAGTTTATTCAAAGCGGACACAGACAAAGCCTGCACTGCTCTATGGGCAGCCAGGTGTAAACAGACTCCGCTGTCGGTTTACACCTGGCTGTCTTCCAATCCACCTAGACGCAGGAGGACTGTTCCCTTTCCGTTTTTAAATTTTTAGCAGACCGGATCGGGTGTCGGCAGGTGTAAACGGACATAAGTAATTTTAAATAGCTGCTAGCACTTAAGGTATCGGTAACTGTCCCTATGTAAATGTATATCATAAACGTGCAGCGCTGTAAACTCATGAAACATAAATATCTTCTATCATACTCGAATATATAAAGTGCAAAATATTTTGACTAGCATTAGCTCAGTGATGGAGAAAAACTGAGGGAGAAGAGAAACACTGGCGTACTAGTCAGTACCAGTGTGTAAAAGTGTACTTGCTTTGGAAGAATAAATCATCTCTAACATTGGGTGTCCTACGCGTGTGGGTGTTGCTGTGTTTATATAAAACTATTAGAATAGTTTTTCACATTTTAGAATGGGGTGCCTCAAGACGGTCCATAATTTTAAAGGATGCCTTGACTGACAAAAGGTTGAGAAACACCGACGTAGACCATGCCTGCTTGGCATTGTCACTGATAATTCACAACCCTGTATCTTGTCAATCAGCACCTGGCCACACCTAGTCCGCATTGACAGCACTACCTCTTTTGATGAAACCCACCACGGTGTGCTGCAGTGTCCTGGAGGGTGAGACACAAATGAAGAAGGATTTGGCTCAGTCAGGGAAGTTCACCTGTTGCTACCCACATACCATATAGAGAATGTGCAGCAGCAAAAGGAGGGTCTTTAACCATTAGCCGCCCGGCCTATAGCCGTTTGGCGGCCGCAAAAATGCTTTAGCTTTCCGGGTGCACGCCATTTGGCGTCCTCCCGCACATGCGCAGTTCGCGCGGTTGCAGAGCCGCGCGATCTGTCACCGGCCGTGTACCTCGGACACGGCCGATGACAGATCTGAGTACCGGGCCCCCGTTGCCGGTACCATGTGACCTGCTGTGACCAATCACAGCAGGTCACATGACAGTTGTATACAATGGATGGCTGCATTCATGCCATCCATTGTATACTAGTGTCTAGCTGTGAATGGTCACAGCAGGTCACATGCACATGTCATGTGATTAGCTGTGGCCATATCACAGCTAAGCAAAAAAAAAAAAAAAAGACCTGAATGAATCGATTTCATTCAGGTAAATGCTTGCTTATAGCAAAATAATTCTTTGCTATAAGCAAATTGTGTAAAAAAAAAAAAAATAATACTGATCACTTTCCCAAAGTAGTACAATGTTACTATGGTAACATTGTACTACTTTGGTCATAGTAAAATATGAAAAAACAAATCTTAAAAAAATAAAAAAAATTTAATAAAAATTAAAAAAAAAAATTAAAAAAAAAATATATATATATATATATATATATATATATATATATATATATATATATACATACATACACACACACACACATTTTTTTCATACTGTCACCAGTCAGTGTCCCTGTTCACCGCCATGCCAGTTATATGATGACGCTGTACTGCACTGGTGACAGTATGTAAAAAAAAAAAATAGTGAAAATAATGACAAAAAAATATACAACTTCAAAAAACTCGCCATGCCTCTTATGAAGTACGTCGGACTGTCTACTCTGCAAAAAGGGGTCATTTGGGGGATATCTGTCCTGTTCTGACATTCTTGGACCTCAAGAAATTAGATTGGCTGTCAGTACTTCAGGATTGATCAATATTCAGATCTATACCATAGTTTGTGAACTCTATAACTTTCCTACAAACTAAATAATACATCCTAATTTTGGTTATTTTCACCAAAGACATGTAGCAGAATACATTTTGGCCTAAATTTATGAAGAACAATTATTTATTTGTAAACTTTTATAACAGAAAGAAAAACGTGTTTTTTTTTTCAAAATTTTGTTTTTTTTTTGTTAATTTAGCAAAAAATAAAAACCCCGGCGGCGATTAAATACCACCAAAAGAAAGCTCTAGTTGCGTGAAGAAAATGATAAAATTTTAGTTTGGGTACAATGTTGTATGACCGCGCAATTGTCATTCAAATTGTGAGAGCGCTGAAACCTGAAAAATGGCCTGGGCAGGAAGGTGTAAAATTGCCCGGTATTGAAATGGTTAACACCCACACATATGCGTCACTGGACAGCCAATGTTTTTGCCCAAGAGTGCACTCACTGTGTGCTCCAGCACAGAGATCGACCTGTCAAAGACATCTCTCGGTCTCCACTAACGATTGGTAGCCAGCAGGAACAACTCACAGTCATGTGATCACTATGACAGCCAATGACAGTGGTCACATGATCGCTGATCCTTCCTGCCCCCCCATGGCGTACAGACTCTAATACAGGGAGGCCGGAGATAGGCAGGAAGGGGTTAAAGAAAGTTTTTTGTTTGCTTTATGAGGCTAGTGCATCACATAGTAACTGGATCTGGTAATTGTTTATACTCTCATATACTGTAGAAGTCTTTAGTTGCTTTTTAAAGGGAACCTGCTCCCTGAATGGGTAAAGTACAGGTTTCCTTTAATATTGGGAAATATCAGCACTGGAGTCCCAGGAGAAAAGTAGGAAACTAGTCAAACTCAAAAATTTGTATTAGGATACAGGGACTAACTTGAACTTACCAGAGCCCATTGCTAATATCGGCACACAGGAGAGCGCTGCCTATACCCTGCGCTAAGTTCAGAGTGGCCAGGATAATGGCGTAGATGTAGAAACTCTTCCTAGCTGCAGACGAACAAGGTACACGACAATACATTACACTTTTATACAAGAAGAAGAAAAACAGCACGAATAAAGCAATTTTGTTACACATTGGATGAAGTGACAAATGATTAAAGAAAAACAAATTCCATGTTTAATATCCGTTTGAAACAGACCTGGGCAGATTGCAGCCCTCTGGCTGTCCCTGTCCGGCCCGTGATGCCTCCACTGTCAGCATCCTGGCTGAATTCTACACATGGCTCCAACTAAAGCTGGCCACACTCACATACGTAATCTCCATTAGATTTATCAGCTAGATCAAGTGATCTACCGAAATATTTTATAAAGTGACCCAAGAAAGTGTGGTTATATGATCACTAAATCGCGCCAAACGATGCTCTTTAAGTATTATTATATTCAATTAGATGCCACTTTAAATGCTATGTCAAACTTACTTCAAATATTACCACCTTCAATACTAGTGATTATTAGCGGCGCATTATGTATCTATAAACACATTAAATCCTCCATACATAATTCCCTGTCTTCATTACTACTCCCACAATGAAAACATATTATGCACAAAATATTATAGCAAAATTATATGTGACATCAAATTATATGTAAAGAACATAAACGTGCAGCGCTGTTAAAACCAATAGATAAATACATATATAAACATGTAAGAAAGTGCACACAAATATATAAAGTGACACTGTGCATCTATGTATGTGCCACCAGAATATGTGGCCAATATAAACGTGAAAGAAACACTGTGTCTAAAACATAAGTCCAGAGTGCAGGCGTGAAACGAGATCTCAAATGATCTTCCGGTATCCAAAAGACACAGATTGTGGATAAGGTGAGACAATTAAAGTGTAGATTGCGCACTCACCAGATACGCAACCTTTTTGCGCATTTGTATGATATAATAAGGACATCAGACATCTCATCAAAAAGGTCTGGTCAGATCTGGTCAATGCCTCCTTCGCTATCCCACGGTTTGCACTTAGCCTTCCCAAATGGTAACCACTCTGCGGATGTACCTGGCTCCCACAGGAGCTCAGAAAGAAACAACAGAGGAGGCCAGTAGTGCAATATTGCCTTAGGATATTTATTCCACACAATGGGTATGTATACAGCAAGAAAGCATATAACATATAATTCGACCCCTTGTGGTGCCGGTGGTCAAATTATATGTGACGTCAAATTATAGTGCTCAAATAAAACACCATAAATCATAAGTCCAATGAAAAAAATTATTAATACTGAAAAATATACGAAAAAGTCCCAGTGAAAAATCTATTAAACCATGTGCTGTGCCCTTCATACACCCCCCTCAAGGCTATGTTCTGGTGAGTGCACACCTGAGAGGAGGTGTATGAAGGGCACAGCACATGGTTTAAGAGATTTTTCACTGGGAATCACATTAACAGAGGACTCACATTGTGGAAGATTTTGTTTGGACTTTTTCATACATTTTTCAGTATTAATGATTTTTTTCACAGGACTTATGATTTATGGTGTTTAATTTGGGCATTATAATTTGATCTCACATATATCTTTGTTGTAATATTTTATAATATTTTGTGCATAATATGTTTTCATTGTGGGAGTAATATTGAAGACAGGGAATTATGCACGGTGGATTTAATGTGTTATAGATACATAATGCGCTGCTAATAATCACTAATATTGAAGGTGGTAATATTTGAATTAAGATCTACCGAAATAGTCTATTTGATAAATACCCAGTTAGGACGGCCATTCCAGCTATGCAGATGTTGGTATATCTGAGGGCGATTGTACAATCAGGCTGTAACATGTGTGGCCAGCATTACTTGCACAAATATCCCCATTTCTGAAATAACATTATTGAGAAAATCAATATGCTCTTTAGACTCACATGGAAGAGAGATGCGATCTTTCAGGGGGGTTTTCGGTAGTATAGAAACTAGTGTGTATACCTGCAGAAAACAAAACACATGGTGAAACCTTAAAAAGTGACCCCGTCACCAACTTAAAACATTGCAGGTAAAAAGAACAGAAAAATCAAGTCTTTTAAATGCTTACTTGCAGTGTTTTCCCTTAGGCTCCATTCACACATGACGATATGGAATCGCCAGCAGAATCACCGTGATTCTGCCCAGGATTCCAAACAGCAGTAAAACATGCGACACGTGTTTGGGTACCATTCAATCCTAATGGCACGCAAACGCAGTGCGATTTTGCTGTGATTGTTGAATGACAGAATGGTACGCAAATTGCAGCAAAATGTGCCTTAGAAAAAAAAAAAAAAAATTGCGCAAAGCTTGTCGCCCAAAAAGGAGCAAGAGCCTTTTGAGCTTTCCATGAGTTGTTGTATTGTTAAATGTACTGCGACTCCTCAGCTGCATCTGAGCTGCCCAATCAATGTTGTTGTGTCTGTGTACGCAGTTTGTCAAACCCTGGCCTTTTGTTAAATAAAGACAAAAAAAAAAAAAAAAAAAGGCGCAGGAGCTTCTTTAGCAAAAGAAAAACAGGCAAAAGGGCAGCTTATGTAAGTAAATAGGCTGCTTTATGTGCAAAAAGCAGAAATGTGTGTAACTTTGCACATAAAAATTTGCGATTGGGAATGCTCATTCCTGCTACAAAAGGTCCTTAGTTCCCTAGCACAGTGTTTTCCTTCCTTCGCACTTCAAAACCCTCTCCTCTTTGGAAGTGTCTAATTAAACGTCCCTGCATAAGTCTTTATATAGCTGCCAGAAGAGAAGCGAAAGGGAATACTGCAGAGCAGGAAACCCTAAATGGTGGACTATAGTCTGGATCTGGACCAAGTGACTGTCCCATCCGGATCGCCACAGTTACTTCACTTAGGAGCCTGGTCCCTCTTGCCCGGTGCCCTGTAGCTGCCTCTGCCAGTTCTTCCTCTCAGCCACCATCGCTGTCCACCTCACTGCAGGGTAGAGGGCTGGAATGAGGACAGTTCTGGACGGAGAGCAACAGCTGCCCAAATTAACAAGCGGGTGATTGGTTGCTAGGACGCAGGACTAGGACTATTTACTGCTAGGACGCATGGCTAGGACTATTGATTGCTAGGATGAAGGGCTAGGACTAGGGATTGCTAGGATGAAGGGCTAGGACTAAGGATTGCTAGGATGAAGGGCTAGGACTAAGGATTGCTAGGATGAAGGGCTAGGACTATTGATTGCTAGGATGAAGGGCTAGGACTAGGGATTGCTAGGATGAAGGGCTAGGACTAGGGATTGCTAGGATGAAGGGCTAGGACTAGGATTGCTAGGATGAAGGGCTAGGACTATTGATTGCTAGGATGAAGGGCTAGGACTAGGGATTGCTAGGATGAAGGGCTAGAAGGTCTAGGATGAAGGGCTAGGACTAGGGATTGCTAGGATTGCTAGGACTATTGATTGCTAGGATGAAGGCTAGGACTAAGGATTGCTAGGATGAAGGGGACTAAGGATTGCTAGGATGAAAGGCTAGGACTAAGGATTGCTAGGATGAAGGGCTAGGACTATTGATTGCTAGGATGAAGGGCTAGGACTAAGGATTGCTAGGATGCAGGTTAAAAAAAAAAAAAAAAAAAAAGGGGGGGGGGGGGGTGTGTGATGTGAAAGGGGCTGAGGACAGTACTGTGAAGGGGAGAGTGTGAAGGGGGGACTGTGATGTAAAGGGAGACCTTGATGTGAAGTGGGGCTATGATGTGCAGGGGGGGGGACTAAGGACACTGATGTAATAAGGGGACTGTGATATAAGGGGGGACTGTGATATAAGGGTGGGCTGTCATATGTCTGCTGAGTCTACTAACATCACATCCTCCAAAATAAGTGTTCAGAAGCAATCTCAGGGTTTTAAAATGTCCACACAAGGGAGGCTTTTACAAGTAAATACAATGCCTAAAATATAAGTGTTCATTTCCTATCCTGCCGACAACCTTTACCAGGAAGGCTAAAAGTGCTGCTGTTGCAGAATACAACTCCTTTCCTGTCTAGTAAAACGTTGTCAGCAGGATAGAAGTGAGGAGTAATCTCTCTAATGGAGCCCAGAGGAGGTGTAATTCTTCCCAATTTTATCCAAACCAAAGAAAAAAAAAAAGGGTTTGGACTGGAAATGCACATTCATCATTATTACTTCATGAATAGAAGTAACAAATACTGTATGCTTCCAGCACATTTTTCTTTAGGACAATACATATCTGCAGCAATGCATTTACTTTACTTACCAAAAAGAAGAAGCAGGAGCTTGCGAGCCAAAAATGCCTGCCTCCATGTCCATAAATATTAAAGTCCTGTGCCGAGAGGTGAGAGTCGGGGTATAGGATTTCTAAGGTTCCCTGTTGGAAGAAATATATCAAATCAAGAATACTCAAGGAGCACGGTTCATTCACAAATAATGATACATTAAATAAATGTAAACTGTATGAAATCAGGCTCTCAGTGGGAGTGGCTGCACTAGGTGGGGAAGGTAGCAGATCAGGTGGCCTAACAGTAAAGAGATAGGTTACCACGGGTATCACCTTTGTGAAGACATTTACTATTAGTCCTGATAGCAGGAGGCTCTTTGTTTGGCATCTAGAACATTTCCTATATATACACAATGCAACCATTTTCAAAGCTGTTTAGTGTTTCTCCCACCTTCTTGTTGCCAGGGACCATTGATGTGAAAGTCCAGACTAAATTTAGCAATGTCAATATGCGCCTGTCAATTTGATAATTTTGCATTGCTTTTAAAAAGTACATAAAATGCTTTTATTTGATACACTCTTAAAGGAGATGTTCACCTTTTAACCAAAATGTAATTTTTTTTGCAGGTAAAAAAAAACGTGCGTTTATTATTTTTGGTTGCAGAAGCCTAGAAACCATTGCACCAGCAATCGGCAGATCGCTGGTGCCATGCAAGTCTCCTGCAGATCTGTCAGTATATCTGCTTGCTCGTACAAGATGTATGAGCAAGCAGATATACTGACAGGGAGAATGAATGAACTAATACGGCGCTCCACATTTTCTCATTCAGAGTACTGTGAATGAGTGGCGCGGCCGTGCAGGCGGAGCCCTGCACGACCATGTTTTTGTTTTTTTTTTTTTTTTTTAAATATGACAGCTAGTGGGTGGAGTGAAGATCCCCCACTAGCTGTCAAAGCTGGGGAGCAGGGGCTGGTGTATTCATACCCATGAATATGGGTGTAACATGTTATGAAAGGTGAACTTATTCTTTAATAAATGCTCTACTTATGGTATTAAAATGTTTTAATGCAATATATAGATAGCAGCTTTTATTATATTTTTTTTTAATGGTCTGTATCTCACTTTCAAAGCTGTAGCCTACTAGCACTGTCAGTGATGATGCCGTCTCTGAAGAAGGAGCTGGCACTGCTGCAGACTTCATAATGGACCATAGATTAAAGTTCCTCGAAGATGATGAGGAAGGGTCATCGAGGGATTGTAGATGGAAAGGGTTAACAGGCTGTTCTACCTAAACTAAAGCCTGCTTCCTGTAAATCAGAACTTGACATCAGAATATCAGCCAGCCCCTGCAAAGGCTGAAGAGCGCTGCTAGTAAGTGGTTTATTTATCATTTGTAGGTAATAAGTATACACTTGCATGTTACCTGTGTGACGGAATACCCAAGTGACAGCACGGCAGTAATGGCCAGTACCCTCTTCACACTGGATTTACTTTCAAGGTGACCTGAGAAAAAAAAAAAAAAAACACATTGTGAAATGACTAGACTGCCCATAGACAAGACATTGATTCTCATTTCATGGCTTATCCTCCAAGACAAAAAGGGAGTGCAGCAGCCTGTAGCAACTAATCAGCAGCCACCTTTGACAGCTATAAAGGAATTTGATTGAATGCCTTGGATGACACTGCATAATGTATTAAACAGGAAGGCATGTGTATTTTTCACCCGTATGTAGCTAACTCTTAGAGCTCCATTCCAGCCATACAGTATATAAAAATGTAAGCAGAAGCAAGGAGATCCTTACGCTACAGGTCCTTAGATACAGCTTCCTCTCCAGCAATGAGAACAGTAGTGACATCACTAAATCTCAATACAAATCTGACGAGACTAGCAGTGCCTTAAGATTATCTCACACTGCAGATTTACAAATATGAGGCTCAAGGAAGAAGCACACTGCTATTTCTAACGGAGAAATACAGAAAAAAAGTAAACTTTTTAGAGTATTGCTGAAGTTAAAGCGGAGTTCCACTCACTCTGTAAAAAAATAAAAGTCAGCAGCTACAAAAACTGTAGCTGCTGACTCTTAAAGTCACTCACCTGTCCCACAATCCCACCGTGCCCCCGCTGCAGCCCCCTTCACTGGCCGTCCTGTATTCCAGGCGCCGGCATCTTCAGTGTGGGCACCCGGCTGTGACAGCTTGCAGCTTCACAGCCGGGTGCCCACTGCGCATGTGCAAGCAGCGCTGCGCTTCATGAATGGTCCTGTAGTCTTCTGGGACCTGTCACGTGTCCTAAAAGACTACAGGGTGGGAAAGGGGACACCTTCCGTTTCCGATCGCCTAGCCCAGTGGTAAGCAACCTGCGGCTCTCTAGCTGTTGTGGAACTACATTTCCCATGAGGCATTGCAATATTACAAAACTGACAGTTACAGCTATGAGTAGCGCTGCACTTCCTGAATGGCCCGTCGTCTTCTGGGACCTGTCACGTGTCCCACAGGACTATGGGGAGGGAGGGTAGGACGACAACTTCCGCTTCCAATAGCCTAGGCGATCGCAGAGGAAGTGGGAGCGGGTACCTGTCAATTTCGGGTACCCGCTCCCCAAAGGTGCCAATCCTAAATAGGGAGCGGGGGACCAATCTTTAAAGCGGAACTTCCCCTTTTGGGTGGAACTCCGCTTTAACCTTTATATATGTCCCCTATAACATGGCAAGTCTTCACCTTTAGAGTTCAGGTCCACTTTAATTTGAATGGGAAAAGGCAACTTAGTGCAATGTGAAAAGCTCAGTGTTCAGTGAAATCCGAGATAGCAATTTCAGTACAAAAAAGGAGCCTGTACAACTGTGTAAGACTTGAGGAAAGACTGTAGCTCGGATTGAAGCCCTGAACAGGCTCAAACCAGAATTAAGGTAACTACTAGTTTAAGGAGAGGTCAGCAATGACAGCCTGCATTCTTATATCATCATAGATTTCCTTTATAATAACATGCTATAGATTAAATAAATCAAAAACAAAATAACCTCACCAAATGCCAAGCCTAGTATAATGACACTGAGTTCAATAGCCAGCAGGAAAAACCTGGTGATCTCCCACAAAACCTGAAAAAAAAAAAAAAAAAAAAAAAGACAGGCATTTAATATTGTACCAACAACTGCAAAGAGAAGCAGTAATGATTGGTCACATTTCAGGACTTTCATTGTGCAGACTAATTTATGACAGATTCATATTGACTGGTCTGATAATTGCTGCCCCTTTAGTGTTACTAAACCTACAACAGTACAATCAGTCTGTATATGCAGTAAAGCATGCTGGTTATACTCACTGTGGAACCTAAGGGGTTAATCCTCTGCATTGTGTAAAAACTCTGTTTGATCCTGTCTTCTCTGATCCTCCCCTTCTCCCAGTGCCGCCCTCTTATCTCCTGATAAGACATATCATGTGGAGTCACTCTTCACGTGCTCAGTTTGGTGTATATTACTAGAGGTGTTTTTTTTGTTCTTAGGAGAGTGCATGTGATCAGCACAGGGCCAATCGACGCAGTCCAGACAGAGGGTCAAGGGTCCTTCACCCTCCTAGAGAAGAATGAAAACTCCCCCTACAAGCTTTAACCAGTGCTCGGCTGAACACTGATAGAAGTCACAAGACTGCTGTAACTGCTAATGAGAAAAGGTATTTAGCAGTTTATATTTACTAAAATAATTGCATTTCCATGTTCTGTGTACTGTGGGAGACCAGATATAGTGAATGCAGGGTCCTGGGAGACCGGATATAGTGAATGCAGGGTCCGGGGAGACCAGATATAGTGAATGCAGGGTCCGGGGAGAGCATATATAGGGAATGCAGGGTCCGGGGAGACCAGATATAGTGAATGCAGGGTCCGGGGAGACCAGATATAGTGAATGCAGGGTCCGGGGAGACCAGATATAGTGAATGCAGGGTCCGGGGAGACCAGATATAGTGAATGCAGGGTCGGGAGACCAGATATAGTGAATGCAGGGTCCGGGGAGACCAGATATAGTGAATGCAGGGTCCGGGGGAGACCAGATATAGTGAATGCAGAGTCCGGGGAGACCAGATGTAGTGAATGCAGAGTCCGGGGAGACCAGATGTAGTGAATGCAGGGTCCGGGGAGACCAGATATAGTGAATGCAGAGTCCGGGGAGACCAGATGTAGTGAATGCAGGGTCCGGGGAGACCAGATATAGTGAATGCAGGGTCCGGGGTTTAGTAACAGTTTAACTACCCGAGCTCATGTTGAAATAACACATGGTCTGAATGTATAAAAAACAATATATAATAATAAAGTCCATGGATGCTTATACCCAACTCTGAGGTTGTTATCTTAGGTCTTATATAGACTCATTAAGTCAGGTAGTTGGCAGGGTAGCATCTGTCAGACCTAGGGTGAGCCTATCATTTCTGACCTGAGTGCCATCAGCAGACAAAATGTACAAAGGCTAAAGCTCCCCCCCCCCCCCCCGACAATCCCCTCCATCCTTTTGTGGAAATTTTCTTTGTCTATCAATAAGGCCGGTTACCAACTTCAACCAGTTTTCCTGCCAGCTGACCACATCTCACCTTGTCCGTAACAGTGGCGACACTGGAGGAACTCACAGTCATAGACACAATAGCTCGAGTGATCCCTACTAATGCCACCACAAACACCTGTAAATAAAAAAAAAAAAAAAAAAAAAAAAAAGGAATAAATAAGAGTTTATGTCAATACTGATCACAGATTTCCATGTATTAGATTTACAGACACAGTTAAAAAGAATGTAGAATATCAAAACTTTTTTTATATTATGTAACTCCAAAAAAAAAAAAAACTAATTAGTGCCAGTAAACCCAAAATGTTTGTGTGTCATTGTCTAAAAATAATTAACTTTCTCTAACACTGTGGTCCACCTTTCCTTCATTACCATATCCTTTGCGTGTAAATTTCTGGTTGATCCTGTTATTTCCCAGGACTCCTTTATTTAGAGAAGCAACACTCTCCTTCTCTCTGGTGGAAGGAGAGGAAGCCGCTTCTTATGTGGGCACTTGTGGGGGCGTGTTCCCGAGCCTCACTGTCTGCATCTATAGACACAGACAGCAAGACTTGGCTCTGCCCCCCATTCCTTTGTCACTGGCTTTGATTGACAGCAGTGGGAATGGCTCCACCTACCTAAGCAAAGCCTTGGAGACCAGGAAGTGAGGAGAGAACCACTGCAGACAGGAACAGTGCTGGATCACATAAGGGCTCAGGTAAGTGTAAGGAGTGGGGGAGGGGGGTCTGGGGAATTCTACTACTACCTAAACATTTTTTACCTTAATACAAGGAATGCATTAGGGTAAAAAATGTTTCGGCTTTATAACCACTTTAACTTGCCTAAAGCAGAGTTCCACCTAAAAAAAGAAAAAAAAAAAAATGTCAGCAGCTACAAAAACTGTAGCTGTTGACTTTTAAAATACAGCCACTTACCTGTCCCTTGGTCCCGCGGTGTCCTCAACACCGCTGGTTTCATCGGCCGTCTACTCTCCCTGGCACCGGCATCTTCAGTGTGGGCACCCGGCTGTGACAGCTTGCGGCTTCAAAGCCAGGTGCTCACTGTGCATCATGCGCGAGAAGTGCTGCGCTTTGTGAATGGCCCCGTAGTCTTCTGGGATCTGTCACGTGTCCCAGAAGACTATGGGGAGGGGGGGGCATTGGACAACTTCCGCTTCCGATCGCCTAGGCCAGTGGTGGGCAACCTTTTTTTTCAACTGAGCCAAATCTTGCCAAAACCACGATTTAAATTTATTTTGAGAGCCACATTTTTAAAACTGAAAATACATAGGATGGTACACTGTTTTTAGTTTCAATAAGTTTTTATAGTAATTCATCCCCCATATAGTAATTCATCCCCCATATAGTAATTCATCCCCCCTATAGTAATTCATCCCCCCATATAGTAATTCATCCCCCATACAGTAATTCATCCCCCATACAGTAATTCATCCCCCATACAGTAATTCATCCCCCTATATAGTAATTCATCCCTATAGTAATTCATCCCCCCTATAGTAATTTCATCCCCCCTATAGTAATTCATCCCCCCTATAGTAATTCATCCCCCATAGTAATTCATCCCCCATAGTAATTCATCCCCCATATAGTAATTCATCCCCCATATAGTAATTCATCCCCCATATAGTAATTCATCCCCCATAGTAATTCATCCCCCATATAGTAATTCATCCCCCATAGTAATTCATCCCCCAAATAGTAATTCATCCCCCATAGTAATTCATCCCCCACATAGTAATTCATCCCCCACATAGTAATTCATCCCCCACAAAGTAATTCATCCCCCACATAGTAATTCATCCCCCACAAAGTAATTCATCCCCCATATAGTAATTCATCCCCCATATAGTAATTCATCCCCCATATAGTAATTCATCCCCCATATGAATTCATCCCTCATATAGTAGTAGTAAGTAAGTAGCAAGTAGTAAGCCAAGTTCCCCCTGTGTCAATTCACTTACCTTTGCTCCGCGCGTTCCTCTCGCCGTGTTCCCGCGCCGTTCCGGTCTTCAGGGCGGACTGTGAGAGGAGCCTAGCTCCTCTCACGTTCGTCACGCTGCCCCGCCTACACACATCCTGACAGCCAATCAATGGCTATCAGGATGTGAGTGGCAGCGAGACTGGCCAATCATTGCATTTGAGCGCGCTGCCCTGGCTGTTTTTTTTTTGGATCACGCTGCAGAGTCCCTGCCGCCCGAGAGGAGGGAGGGGAGCGGGCGCCCGGCACACAAGAGCCGCATTAAAGCGTGTAAAGAGCCGCATGTGGCTCGCGAGCCGCGGCTTGCCGACCACTGGCCTAGGCGATCACAACAGAAGTGGGAACCTGTCAAATTTGGTTACCCGCTCCCCAAAAGGTGCCAATCCTTAATGGGGAGCGGGGGGACAAAGGCTTAAAGCAGAACTTCCCCTTTTGGGTGGGGCTCCGCTTTAAGCAACAGGATACCACAACGGCAACGCACTGGGGAAATAAAGGGCGTGTCCAGTGATGACATCTATAGGTAGCATCGCAGTGTGGCACAAAGCAAAGTAGGGAACACATGACCATGATATATAACAGGTGAAAGAAAAAAAAAAAAAAGAAGAGGCATTTTAATATATTTTAGAAAACAATCTATAGATAGTTGTTTACATGGTTCTATTTGCTTCTCATATACACAAACAGGTTACAGTAGGTTTGCATACACTTTTAGAGACAGTTATACAAAACACAGTTTTATGTCCAATAAAAATGTTTTATGTTGGCAGAAAACCAGCATTAAGTACTTAAAAGTGTATGCAAAGACAAAAGTGCAGGACCTTTATGATCCTTTTGGCTCACCCCAGTATAACCTGTCTGGTTAGGAGTTTTCATTGAACACCAAGCCTTGATACATAGAAGCCATTGTTTCCATACACTGCACTACACTGATGATTGCCAACAAGTTGCATGCAATTAAAGCGGAGCTCCAGGCTCCACAGCAATTTTTTTTTTTTTTTTAAGTGCCATCATGATTGTTATTACTTGTACTGAAATAATTGGCTATTGTTATAACTGTATTCATACATCTGTAAATTGATCTGATGGATTGATCTTGTCAGCAGGCAGGGGCCATGGTAGATGTGGGCGTCTGAAGCCCGCTCCTGTTCACTTCCGGGATTCGGTGCAGCTGGCTACCCAGCATGCACCTCCCGATCTCGCGCCTGGGCAGTAACGACGCAGTTTGTTGATTGAAGGTTGCCATAGCAATGGTGGCATCGGCGGACGTTACCGTCTTGTTGTTATGGCAACCTGCCAATCAGAAGACCCGGAAGTCGGATGCGGTCTGGGAAATAATGCAATTTTATTTATGTCAGGTACTTCTATAGCGCCGTCAATTTACATATATATATTGTACATTCACATCAGTCCCTAACCCTCAAGGGGCGTACAATCTAAGGTCCCTAACTCACATTCATACATACACATACTAGGGCCAATTTAGACAGGAGCCAATTAACCTACCAGCATGTCTTTGGAGTGTGGGAGGAAACCGGAGTACCCGGAGGGAACCCACGCAGGCACAGGGAGAACATGAAAACTCCAGGCAGGTGGTGCCGTGGTTGGGATTCGAACCAGTGACCCTAGTGCTGCCAGGCAGAAGTGCTAACCATTTAGCCACTGTGCCGCCCCGATTTTTAGTCAATTTGCTTGGACTCCTGGGATAGAGAACGCCGATATCCCAGGAGTCCATGCGAAGCACCTTATGACGACATCACCTAGGCAGCGGACCGGAAGTGCTGCATACACGATAAAAATAAGGTATTCAGCATAAAAAAAAAAAATAAGGTATTCATACATTAAATAAATATATATATATATATATATATATATATATATATATATATATAATATCCATTAAGGAATACACTGCGGGTGGGCATGTAGATGAAAGCAACTTTTAACCACCTCCCAACCAGTCGTTATATATAAATGGCCGGACGGTGGCAGTGCAGGGGCGGGTGGCCCTTTATAAATGGCCTCCCCCGCCCCCTGATTGTGCACGCTCCCTCGGAGCGCGCAGCACCGCGATCCGGTGCCCGCTGTGTCATCCGGACACAGTGGAACACCGATTGTCGTATGGGACCTCTGTGTGAGGTCCCAATCAGTGATCACTGATTGGCCAATCAGTGATCACATGCAGAGTAGTAAGCAAGATGTCACTTCTGACATCATTGCTTACTACGTGTGAAATCTGTGAATGATCCCAGAGGTCACATGGTACAAGGCTATTCACAACAGCCTTGTACCATGTGACAAGCTGTGAACAATCACAGCTCACACAGTATTTCTCAATGGCTGCAAGAATGCAGCCAGAGAGAAGGAGAAATGATTACTTTTACAGCCTTTATGTGTAAAAGCAATCAGTGTAAGAAAAAAAAAAAAATCTTCATCACCCCCCACAAGTAGTACAGTGTCACCATGGTGACACTATACTGCTAGGGTGACAGTATGTAAAAAAAAAATAATAATATAAAAAAAAATTAAATAAAAATGTAAAAAAAAAAAAAACTTGTAAAAATTATCATTTTTGGTTATAAACTAATTTGGGTTATTTTTTTTTTTTTACTAAAAAGATAACTGAATAAATTTTGGCCAAGATTTATGAAGAAAGATTATCTGCAAAATTTTATAAGAAAAACACT